AAAATTAAAAAAAAAAAACCTATCTCGCTAACACCTTGCAGGGGTGGGGGGCCGGGGAGGGACTCTATCCAGTTAATTTCTGGGATACCAAAATTCTTGCTCTGAATACAAATGGAAGAGTCATCCTCCCAACCGTAAGCAAGTTTTAAGGGGACACTTACTTTTTGACAATTTTGTTGCGCTTGGCTTGAGAGAAGGTTTCAAGTTGAAGGGACTCGTGGGTGAGAAACGCTACCGCCAAATGGAAGTAATTGTTCCAGAGCTGCTCAAATTTAACGGTGTGGGTGAAAAGCAATGGAAAGTAACATTAATAAGGGTCAGGGTAAGATCGCGCCACATGGTAGAAATTCACTCGCAGAAACTAATGAGAAAAACAAAATAAAATCCACAAGGCTCCTTTTTCTTTCTCGGGTTTCATTTATTCAACCCTGAATAGTTTTAACACTTAATAGTAATATTAAGCTTTTTTAAAAAAATCCAGACTATCATATTGGTCTTTACTCCTGAGATAAAGGAAAACCGCTGCCAGTAAATGCACCTATTTATAGTAAGCAGTTTGGCAACGTGTATCAAGAGCCTTAAAATTCTGCCAAACTTCTCAAATAGTAAATACTTTAGGACTTTATCCTGGCAAAATAATGACGGGTATTTAAAAATATTTAAAGCAAGGAAGGCCCTCACTGTTTTATTTAAATAGCAGAAGATGGAAGCAATCTAAACGTTCCTAAGAAGAATCTGGTTAAATAAATCATGGCCCGGCCATGCAACGGACTGTATTCAGCCATTAAAAATACGGTGGAAGTGTTTAATATCATTGAAAAGACGAGAGAAAAATAATTACATTAACAGGTTGCCAAAGAACTGCATAGCGTGATTCCGTTTTGGTGTGTGTGTGTGTGTGTGTGTGTGTGTATATATATACATATATCTGTATATATGTATGTCTGTATATATATATGTCTGTATATATATATGTATGTGTATATATATATGTGTATATATAATATATATATATACACATACATATATATATATATTATGTTTAGCAAATATATGTGTTCCATTTTGGCACAGATACACACACACACACATATCCACGTATATGTAAGTGCACATGTAACTTTCTCTTCTTATGAGTCTCCACTTTTAAAGTCTCACAGTTATAAACGAAGCCCCATGACACAGCAAAAGCGTATCACCAACAAAACGTTTGCTGGAATGAGAGCTGGGAACTTGTCTGGCTTCATCAGGGCCTAAAATGGCACCCTGTGCCGTCTAACATTTGTTGGACGAATGAATGAATGAATGAATGAATGAAGATGAAGCTCGCGGGCACCTGATTTGCCCTCACTTTGGATTTTCAAACAAGCACGTACAGAAACCTCTCCTTAGAAACCAAATCACTTGTAGGCAGAGAAATATCTGTGTGCCTAGCAGCAAGCACAAGTGTGCATGTATTTGTGTTATGTTAACAACAGAAGGTAGGGCTATTTGTCTTTCAATGTTCTTTTTGCTTTGCTGTTTTCTGCTGCTACTTTTTTTTTTTCTTTTTAACCTGTATTACTTTTACGGAAAGAAGAAAAAAACTCGACTTGACTGTCTAAAGGACGGAGTGACAGGAATGTGCGCTTTAGGGAAAGGAGAGAAAAACAAGAAAACTGTTTGCATCTGGAAACGATAGGGGCGCCTGGGTGGCTCAGTCGGTGAAGTGCCCCACTTCAGCTCAGGTCATGATCTCACAGTTCGAGAGTTCGAGCCCCGTGTCGGGCTCTGTGCTGACAGCTCAGAGCCTGGAGCCTGCTTCAGATGCTATGTCTCTCTCTCTCTCTCTCTCTCTCTCTCTCTCTGCCCCTCCCTGACTTGTGTTCTGTCTCTCCCTCTTTCTCTCTCAAAAATAAATATTTTAAAAAGTAAAAAAAAGATTAGATCTTTAAAAAAAAAAACAGTAAGAAAATGATAAAATGTGAAGTGACGTTTTCCAAAATGCAACAGTTCTCTTGCTGTGGCTGAGAATTTGAGGAATAATGATGTGAGTAGCCATGCTTACCTGAAGTTCAAAGCTTGTCTGATCCATGAAGAACTTTGTGAGAACCTCAGTAAACTGATTTATAGCACGAAGGAAAACCCTGAGGGAGAAAACACCAGATAAAGAAAGCACCTTTCTGTCTTTAAAACATTTCCCATCTATGTTAAAAACCAAAGCAAACCAAACTTGGGCTCTGCAGCATAAGACCTTTACATCTATTGAGGTCATCAGAAACCAATGACACAGCAGTCTGGAGATGGCACTGTTCAGTTTCTAGAATGGTCTATGAGATCCACTGGGGGCTGCTCCACAATGTAGCCACTTAGGGGTAGAGCTGAGATGATTAACCAGGTCTCCTGAGCCTCAGACAGGGCTCTTGCACTCTACTGTGACACCTGTCTTTCCAAGTCTGGTGATACTGTGATGCGATTTTTTTTCTTTAATCTGTACATAGCTGGGAAGGGTTTTTCTAAGAGTTAACAGCTCTTAGAATGATTTACTTTATTTAGTTCTTTAAAAAAATTCTGAAATCTTAATATTATATGTATAATATATAATTCTGAAATCTTATTATACATATGTATATAAATAAAATTCTGAAACTATGGAAAAAAAATATATATATGCAGTTTTTTTGCTTCCATTCCATTGTGGTCCAACAACTGGAAAGCACTGGCTTAAGGTCTGCCTTGAAAGAGAGGGTTTCTCGTCTTAAGAAGTTTGCCACTTGGTGGGGGTCACCTGAGACCTGTGAACAGGACCATGACCCAACAAAGAACACGGAAAATTCTGTGGAGGGGGTGTCAAAGAGTTACGGGGAAATCAAAAGGAAGAGGACGCGACATCCAGGTTGGAAACGTTTCCTTTGGAGATGGCATTTGAGAAGGACCTTGAGGAACGGGTGGCAGGTTGACAGCCAAAGGTCATGCGGAAGGCGCTGGAGGTGGAAGCAGCCGCCCAAAGGAAAGCACAGCACATGTTTGGGGACCAGAGAGAAGCCAGTTCGGTTGGAGCGCAGGTTGTGCTACTGAGGGAAATCGTGGAAGACAAGGCTAGAAAAGCAGAGCGGACCAGGCTGCAGAGGCCCTGAATGTCATGATGATGAGGGTGGTGCAGAGCCACCAAGGGGCACTGGGGGAGAGCCGAGGATGACAGGAGTTGGGCAATGAGGGGACCACACCTGAGCAGAGAGCCTCAGGTGAGAAGTGAGCAAAGAATCGGCAATCCAGAAACAGGAGGCTTCTTGCTCTACGGAGCATGGATGGGCCGCAGAGATTTAATAGCACTCTATGGGAGGGCCCATACCTGGTCAAGAAAGCCAAGTAGTTCAGAGTCAAATGACTCATGCCCTGCCCTGGGGCTGTCTTACCTGCTCTGTGTCATATTCATGACCATCCAGTCTTTGGCGTAGACATTCTTTCCAATCAGATCCTTGAACATGATAAAAGTTTCCATGAGGAAATCCTGCAGAGAACAAAGGAGCAGTTGTGGAAAAAGTGACTGGAGGGAGCTCCCCATCAGAACACAATGGCCCTAGCCCGAAATTACAGCCTACCTTTTTAATAAGGTTTTTAGGGATCTGACAAGGACAAAACAGTTGTCCACATTTTATAACTGATAAAACTGAGGCCTGTGAAAAAAGTGAAAGACTTAAGGCCGTAGAAACTAGGAAGTGGGAGAGCGGGGAAGAGAACTTGGGGTTTTGGGCCCCAACTTTAGATCCATAATGCCTTAGTCCTCTCCTGCCAAGCGTCGATGGAACAGATCTACCGCACTTAGAATGAATTTACCAACAATGGTGAGACTGCTGATAACTCTTGAGTCCAATCCTCCTTTATTATTATTAGAACAGAACAAAACCGCTATAAATAAAAAGCAAAGTCAGGATTCTTCCTATTCCAGGAATGTTCCCATGGGTAGCTTGGGGGGAAGGGTCCTAAAGGGCCCTTAAAAAGAGATGGCAGCCACGCCCTGCAATGATGGTAATAACTAATAACAAAAGAACACAGAGCGCGATGTCTGAAAAAGAGCTCTTCTACTCAAAGG